AATTGTCACCTGAAAGTATGTACATTCCAAAAAGCTGACCTTCAATTTTGACTTAAGTTGTCTACATATTCACATATGAGAATCAGTGAAAATTAGGAGGCAAATGTCAAATTCAGTTACCTTTCTGCATTCTCTAACAGATAAGACAAGCAAATGGAATGAAGGCAGAGTTAGAAGGGGCAGGCTCCCCTGATCACCAGCTGACTTTTGCTATAGCAGTTAAGGACCCCAATGCTTTCAGGGATGTTTGTGTCTTCTTTGTAGTTTTTGTTTTGTTTTATATTACATTTTTAAGAGATGGTCTACTGTTTTTAAAACAAGGTCTCACTCTGTAGCATCGGTTGCCTTGGAATGTGCTATATAGATCAATCTGGCCTCAGACACCCAGAGATCTGCTTGCTTCTGCCTCTCAAGTGTTCGGGTTAAGGACATATGCCACCACACCTGGCCCAACATATGGGCTATTTTGAAATAATTTAAAACCACTTTGTAGGTAAAATAAGATCTATTAAGCCAATGTTAGGAATCATGCTACCATTTTAGAACTTTTGCCTTTGAAAATAAATGGCCTAAGGAAAGTATTGTAATGTGGACTTCTGTTTGTTTAGTATGTAGAATTGTACTGATTATAGTAAAGAATATCATAGGCCTTTGACCTACCTGAAAACAGGATATTGGCATCTATAAGAGTGTCAGGTGTTCAGCAATTTGTTGAAAGGATCTCAAACCCAACCAAAAGGTAGTTAATTCCCTTGATATTCATGCCACTATTATTGCATCAGTAGATGTGTCTTGTCAATCCAGGCATTGTTATAGATCACAGCATTTATAGCTAGATAAGAATGGTAATTAGCTTTCTCCTCTGATAGTATAAATAGTACATTCCAGCACTATGGAAGCCAGCCATTAGCAACAAAGCTTTCAGACAGTAACAGCTTGATTTCTCCATGTTCTATGACTCAGGTGTGTGGTATCTTCAGCAATGGGGACTGATAATCAGTTTTGGAGAGTAACTAAGAGCAATAGCAGTAGCCAACAATATTTGGGAATCTGTGAGAACTCACTGGCCAAAAACTCCAACAGAGGTTACCCATTGGACTTTTTATAATGATTTTGCAACATCTAGTTGTAACATCCTTATTACAGAGAAATTCCAGTTTTACTAAATTTATACATGTATGGGTTATATAGTTTGGGAAATGTACATACAAGTTTTTATATGACCTTTTCAGAAGTTTCTTAGTGCTATTTAACTTAGTGTTTTCTCTCTTGTACTCTGCTTCCCATCCCCCATCCCACTTAACCCTTCCTGTTCCATTATTTCCCCTCACCATTTTATGTCATTGTGTCCTAGCTTTCTTTCCTTGAGTCCTACCCTATGGCATTTTACTAGTGGGTATTCCAAATGAAACACACGTGTTTGTGTGTGTGTGTGTGTGTGTGTGTGTGTGTGTGTGTGGTGTGTGTGTGTGTGAGAAACATATATATATATATATACATATATACATATATGTATATATATATAAAGTTTACATCCACAAATAAGAGCAAACATATATTTGTATTTATGACCTGGTGTTACCTCACCCAAAATGACTATTTCCATCTTCAGCCATTTACCTATAAATTTCATAACACATAAATAATGTATTTGTCTTCATAGATGAATAATATTCTATTATGTAAATTTACCAAATTTTTATTATCTATTCATCCATTCATGGGCATCTAGGTTGCTTTTATTTTCTGGCTGTTTTACTGTTTTTGATTTTTAGAGACAGGATTTCTAGGTGAAACAGTCCCGGCTCTGTAACTCACTCTGTAAACTAGACTGGCCTTGAACTCACAGAGTTCTACCTGCCTCTGCCTCCCAAAGGCTGGGATTAAAGGTGTGCACCACCACTGCTGGGTCTGGCTATTTTAAATAGAGTAACAATGAACATGGAAAAGCAAGTATTTCTATAATAGGACACAGAGTCTTTGGGTGTATATCCTGAGGAACAGTATAGCTGAATTACTTGGTTGATCTATTTCTAACTCTTTAAGGAACCACTACACTAATTTTCCCAGCAGCTGCATGAGTTTATAATCCTAGCAGTTATGAACAAGTATTCTCTTTTCTTCAAAGCCACACCAGCATTTGTATCACTTTTCATTTTAATAACTTCTCACTGTACTCCTAAATGAGTGCATCTCTTAGGCCTCATCACAGAAGCTTCTCTTTGAAGTAAATGTAGATTAACACAATGTTTCACAACGGGTCAAGGTTCAAAGAACAATGGACTGTGGGATGCTCAGTCCTGAATGGGACACTGGTATCACACTACTCCTTCAAAGGCTTCAGAAATGTTGTGGGAGAATTGGCAGAAAGACTATCAGAACCAGAGGCAGTTATGACCACCAACAAATACTCTTTTCCAGCCATAACAGGGAAGCTGCACACACGAATGCCCAGAGTTTGTAGTAGCAGACACAAGACCTGTGCAAACTCAAACAAAAATCTCAGCATGATGGTGAAGTGGGCAAGTCTCATCTTTATCTGAGGAGATTGGTTATTGATAACTGTTACAAGCACTTTCCCACCAGCCTGGTCCCACAGCTGCATCAAAGACCCAAATAACACACAGAGACTTGTATTAATTATAATGCTGTGGGCCAATATCTAGAGCTTCTTATTGGCTAGCTCTGTCTTAATTATTAACCCATAATTACTAATATATGTATTTCTAAATGGTCTACTCTTACAGAGGTCACCAAACTCACATGTCCTCTCCTCCCAAAATCATATCGAGACTCTGTCCTACATTTCTCAGAATCCTCTACCTATCCTAGTCTCACCTATCTTACTTTCCTATTGACCAACAGTGCTTTATTCATTAATCAATAAGAGAAGCATATATACAGAATGACATCTCCCATCAGATAACTGCTGGGAGAAAGAGAGTTTTCTATTAGGGTATGACCACACACACACACACACACACACACACAGAGAGAGAGAGAGAGAGAGAGAGAGAGAGAGAGAGAGAGAGAGAGAGAGGGTGAATTCTTTTATATCCACTGAAATTTTCTTCAATACTCTGTTCTGACCTACAGAATGTATAAGCTCTTATAATAGCATCTGACCATTTTATCAGTAGCAAGTCATTTTACTCCTTTACATAATAAATTCATTAATCTATCTTGAATAAAATAAGAATAATATTCCAAGGAAAGACAGCACCAACATTAAGGATGGTGAATAGGGCTATAATATAATTAAAAGGTAAACTACAAGCCAATGATTTTGGGAGAGGTGTACAGTCTACTAGGAACAATACATATGACAATATAATGCAGATCAATCTAGAAGCTAAACCTACAATTGTTGTTTATATCATGGAGTTATTAAGCATAAAAGAAAAATTTGGAAAATAAAATTCATGGTAATCCAGCCAGTCATGATGGCAAATGTCTTTAATCCTAACATTCAGTAGGCAGAAGCAGCTGGATTCCTGTGATTTCGAGGCCAACCTGATCTATATAGTGTGTTCCAGATCAGCAAGGCTACATAGTGAGGCCCTGTTTCAAAAATAAAGAACAATTCAAGCAGCTATATTTTATTTTTTAGATGAAGCACTAAAACATTAACTTAGGTTTGTATGTCAAAATCAATGTTTTTTTCATCCTCATTGTTCTTTTCATATAATTACCAGAAAAGCTATGAAAATAATTACTTTTGGCACAATTAAGATTCCTAGTGATAAAAGTGATGACATTCTGAATATCAAATCCAATATAGTTCATCAACCATTTTGAAAGACATAAAGTTCATCCTAGTTCTTGAAATATATAAAACTAAAAATTTCAAGTAATTTTCTAAAGGAAATCAATGTCTTGAATAAATATAATATGTGACATATACATTTTAAATGATGAAGAGAAAGCCAATTATTTGACATATAACATATAGCTTACTTATAAAGAGTAAACCAATACTCCATGTTTCAATAGGGCACATCTTACATAATTTTCCTATATCTTAATATGTTTTAATTTACCTCATTGAATTTAAATAGCACATTATGTTTCAAGGCAGAATTTCCTACTATGACTGTAATTTTCTCTTTGTTCATATTTCTGTTCTCTGTAAAGAGTTATGGCATATTACCCTTTGATACGTTACATACTTACTAGGTTCATTTAACTTATATAAAGATATATCACCAATAATTTTAAGCTTAAGGCTAACCATCATAACTTTCAATGTTAAGCTTGAAGAATTAAGAAAATATTCAATATTCTATATTTCAAATTTCACTTCAGTAGCTTTTCAATACTTTTAACAAAATTAAAATAATATATTGACTTATTTTTAATTTAAAATTGGAAATTGCTGCTTTTTGACTGTAGCAGTGATTTTTAAACTGACAAGCTTATTCCTGCCTGCCCTGAAGTGTTGTTCCTTCTGATGAAGTTCTGATGACAACGAAGAATGCATCTCTCCTTCAAGTACATCTTGAAGACTTGGAAAATCCAAGCTACACCCAGGAATTCCATTTCCTTGTCGTGACTCATCTGGACCACAGGCATGTAAGACCTGTCTGAAAGAGACAGAAGGAGAAGTAGAATGCCACCTGTGAGTCATCCTTTAATATAGTAGAGCCTTGGAGTGAACAAGCAGGGGGATGTATTGGTTGTTAGGAAAATGTAGGTTACTGGAAGAAAATAGCATCCTCCATTAGTAAGATCTAAGGTGCGACTCACATAATTGTTTTCCTTAAGATTGATGGGACACATGAGGCATTTCTTTAAGCTGGTGACGATCCTCATAAATGCCTAAAGTGTACAGGAGTGCACATGGTTTTAGAAGGAGATTTTTATAAAGAAGGTGGAGATCCCAACTCCCTTCATGCTGTCTCTCTCTCTATATATATATTTATGTCTGAGTGTTTATTCTAGATTTCTTTGGAAGTGTCTTGACAGAGAAACCAAGCTGAGCAAAGCAGCCTTGATCTGAGTGAGCTAACTGGCACCATGAAAATAACAGGTGTCTTTCTGCTCCTCTCTCTGGCTCTTCTCTGCTTTTTGTCAGGTGAGTTTTCCCTTAAAATTAACCTCCCATAGTTACATGGAACCAGAAGGGAGAAGAGTAGATCTCCCTCACATTAAAAAATTCTAATGACTTTTATGTGAAAGAGCAGTTAAGGGAGAATACGATAATGATGACGAAAGTTAACGGTGATGATGACAATGATGCTGTGGACAGTAAGTAGTGTCACTCACAGAGCATATGTTTTGCCCTGAGCTTGCTATAGATCATCTCTGCTTCTCTTGCAAGGAGATTGGAACCCTGTTTTTCATACAAGAAACTGTGAAAAGGAAATTATAACAAATCAATAGGCATTTATAGTTTTTGTTGAGGTCTTAAAGACATCACAATTGATGCTTATTTGTAAGTATAAATCTAGACTATGAATAGTTGGCATTAAAACTAATCTTAGCTTTTCAGAAAAAAATTCTGTCATTTTTTATTACTTCAAAGAGACTCAAGTAATTGAAATTGAAACAGGAATGGGGATAGAAACGCAGTATGTAAAGCTTTAAAAAGAATTTAGAGAGCTTAGAAAAGAAAAAGCATATGCAACAAGAAAAGAAAATTATTCCCCAAGCAGGCAGAATCTTGGGCCACTTATGTGAGCAATAGATATGCATTTTATCAGCTGATATGTTTGAAAGTTACACTGTGAAGTACCATGAATCTGGAGATGAAAAGGCTGCATTTCTTGGCCAAAGGAACACAGCCTTTCTATCTATTACCTCATTTATCTTTCTGTTGCCAGACAGAGTGTCCACTGGGGAAAATTGAACCATGGCAGTCCTATCTTTCCCACTGGCATCCTATGCATCCTTTTAGATACTGATTCCTGTAGAAATGCTAGGACATGAGACTAAACTCTGTTGAGGGTAGGGGGTGGGCTTCCATGGGTGATGAATCATTTTCTGGGGCAGTAAAAGATAAACTTTGTTGCCTTCAAGGTTTTCAATTTGATGAAGACTTTTTAAATTTCCAATGAAATCAAGATGATAGAGAATGCTCACTCTAGTTAGCCATATCTACAGAAACAAATTCTTGTTAAAATACATATTAAAATACAGGTGAAAGATTCCTGTAATACTGCTGAGTATGTTTGACTTAAAACTACTCAAAAATATGTTATAAGGTAGCAGAAAGTTAGACCTGTGTTAAAACTTAGCCCTGAAGTCAGTTGACATTCTTTGTAGCTTATCTTTGTAGAGATAACTTACTTTAACAAGATCTAGTTTACAAATGTACTGAGTTCTCAAGAGCATAGATACTTCCTAGACACATCAGAGGTCATTTATGGGTGGTATCATGCTCAAGAAAGCTAATGCTGAGACAGAGAAAATTAATTAAATCCTAGCATTTCCATCATTCAACTCTAACATTTCTGAGTTTTCTTATATGTTAAATAAAAATATAGAATAACTACCCCCATATGGGGAATTTAATGAGAAAATTGATAAAGAGCTTGACATAGTAGTTGGTACACAGTAAATGTTCAACAAATGTCTGATAGTAATTCCATAATTAAAACACAATAAAGGTAATTTTTCTTATGTATTGTCAATATGAGTCTACCTCCTGCCTTGCCATTTCCTAAATATAGAACAGTGGGAAAATCCTTCCTCTTCCCAGTACATATTTTCAAGGTGAAACATTGACTGAAAATTAAGAATAAAATTTCCAAGACAATAAATTCACTCTTAGGATTAACAAAATACAGAGTCCTAGGCATTGTCTGGACTTTAGCATAACTTTCAAAGCATCCAGCAGAAGACCATGTGCTCATAATAATCACTTACTCTGCCAGTTATGAATTAGTGCTGCTGTTAAAGCTCCTGGAAGAGACAGTGAGGCCCATATAAACTTTAAAAGCTGTGGTTTCTCCTACATCCAATAATGTATTGCATTTTGAAGTACATCTGTGTGTCATCCCTGAATACTGGCCCATGTTGGCAGCAGCATCCACTGATACTTCCTCACTGAACAAGTCTTGGATATACATGCATGAAAGGTGTTGGCACATTTGCAGCTGCAAAGCATCACTCGCCTAAAACCATGGATGTTAATATTAAGAAGGAAGAACGAAGTGAGAAGTAAGACTTCTAGGAATTCATCTTCAAAAACTTAAGAGAAATAGAGAAGTCATAGAAAATGAGGCACAGAAAGAGGATAGGTCAGTCTTTAAGAATGCATATTTGGGTCATATCTTTAAAAGGGAGTTTTAGTAAAAAAAAAAAAAAAAAAAAAAAAAAAAAAAAGACAGAAGAGCAAACCTGAGTTCAGTGAATAGATAATATCTCTTTCCAACTCCTCTTCTATGAAGTAGGACCAAAGATGATAAAGTCATCCCCGTAGTGAATGAAAAGCAAGGCCAAAGCTATAAAATTGCCTCTTACCTAACCCCCAACAAATGTGTGCCTTCATGGTCTAATGCTCCCTAAGAAGTGAACAGACATGAAAATGAGATATTTTGAGGCTTCATGACATGGCCAACAGAAAGTGGTATGCATATTTCTGATAAATTTGGAAATCTCCTTTTTACACATTCAGAAATTACAGTGTTTGGAATTTATGCTTTTTTTTTTCAGGTGCCTCCAGTCAAGGAGGGAAGGTGAGTGCTCATCTGTTTGTATTTTTGTGTCCTAGATAGAATATGGCTACTATTCCATTGCTAAAATGAGGTTTGTCTATGCTATGGGAGAAAAAAAAAGAAAAGAAAAGAAAAAAGAAAGGAAAGGAAAGGAAAGGAAAGAAAGGCAGGAAAGCAAACATAAAAGCCAAATTGAGAAATCAGATAAAACAATGAGATTTTAAACTACATTTCTCATGGTATATAATTTTAAGTTTAAAGGAGCTTAAAGTGGTATTTTTGTACATTGTCAGGGTGCTGTGGTTATACACAAACATAGGATGGGTGGAAAATAAAGTTTACATCCCATTTCTAATGTAACCAGGCTATTGAACTGAAGAGTTCCTCAGTTCTCACAATTGCAAATACCATGGCTGTTAAATTGGGCATTAATTCATCCCATAGAATTACAGTTACCATTAAGCTGCACAAAGAAGGCAAATCATTTGGAAAATTGTAAACATTCTGTGTGAATTAGTTACTGATCTGTAATTAACTCCCCCTAATAGAGTTAGAAGAGAGATCTTTGGATTTTCTTTGTTTTGTGTTTACAGAAATAAGAAATGAACATAATTTTGTGTATCAAGGATCTACAGTCTGCAGCGTTCAAATTTAAATGCAAATTGGGGGTAAAACCTAGAATTGGCATAGATTTTGTCATTAAGATTTTTTTTTCTCTTAGGGTTATTCAACAGCAATTTATATAACCAACACATATGTGTTTGTGTTCTTCTATGAAGCTGTACATCCTAAAATGTATGTGCTCAAAGAAGTGTCAAGCTACAGCTTTTACTAAACTCAGAAGCAAACCAAAAGGGCCTACAACTCAACCAATGTGTTTCATATCCCATTAGACTATAAAATAAGATGACAGTAGCATTGCACATAAATCTAAATGATTTGAAATTTCACCCCAGTTTTCTCATTAACCCTCAGGTCACTTGCTTTCTTGGAATTTTCATTTTTGAGAGTTTAATTGTATTTTATGTTGCTCATGTAACATCTACAATTTATTTATACTGTTCTTTTCCATTCGTTGAAGTCTTATGGTCTGTTTGCTTCAGAGTCACCTGACATGAAATACACAGATCCTCATGGAAGATGTTCAGTAAGCATTGTATTGTTAAGGAATTTGAATCTACATTCTAAACAACGGTACAGATAATACCCACACAGAACAAAATCTAGCAATTTAAAAAAATAACATCAACCAAGCTAAACTGAGAAGTACTGTTTTGCAGTCAGACGAGGTGAATAAACTCTCATTCACAGCTACTGGTTATGTTTTCACATTTTAAAATGAAGGATGAGGTCCAGCATTATCCAAAGCCTCTTCCTGAACTAAATATTTAAATCATTGTCAACCAAACATGTACTGCCAAGGCTACTGCCTTGGAACTATAAAATACAAGGAAGGATCTGCCCTTCCAGACCACACCTAAGCGGCTTTATTCTTCCTTCTTCATGGCCAAAAGGAGAGTTGGCCAGAAGGAATTACTGATGGTAGGAACATGCTGGCTCAAGTTAGACTCAGCCAAGACAAAATTAAAACAGTTTTCCTCCAACACTCAAGTCTTTCTTCCCATGCCGGGAATTTTGTCCATGACACATCCTCTGGGAGATTATAGTGCACACTCCTAATTATAGATCTTTACAGATTTCATGTTCTTTTATGACCATTTTTATGGTATCAGGGTGTGTTTTGTCACACCCATACATGTAACCTCAGCTCTGGGAAGGCTGAGGCAGGAGGATCATTCAATTTTAGGGCAAACCTAGTTTATGTAATGAATTCCATCCCAGACAAGCCAAGGCTCCAGACAGAATGGTTGTTTTCTTCTTTCCTATTATTTTCACTTTCCAGGCTCAAAGTTTGGGTTTCTTACCCTTACAGGGACATTTAAATGTATGTCCCTAGTAGCTGTTTCTTCTGTATAATTTATAATAACTATTTCATTACAAAATAAAGACTGATTTATTTTAGAACATTGGTAAAACAACATTCTACTACGAAGATGAGTTTGAGGTTCTTGTAGCTCCCCAATTACCTTGGTTTTTACTTAAAATTAAGGTACTGTCAATATTTAAATGCAGTTTGGAGGTTAAAGAGTGTCCACCATGTAAACACAAAGGGAACAAAACCTTGAAGCCTGGTGAAGAGAGTGTGGGTTAAGACTGTAAGCAGCAGTAAGTAGGCAGAATCAAGTCCCCGGACTATTGAGTCTTCCATATTGACTTAGCTGTAGTCATCAGTAAGGCTTCAAGTAGTACTATTCTCTAGCAAACCTGACGTAATGATTACTGTTGTCCTGTCTTATGCAAGAAATATATTGAAAACTATATTTTAAGGTATCATTTCTCCAAATGTAGAAAGGATTTGATACCAATAGGCAATCTCTTATATAGAATTGAACTTATGGTATTGGTACAGACAAAATATGCTAAGGACTTTTGCAGGTAGTAAATTACCATTAGCAAAGTAAAGTTAGAAAGGAAGGAAAGAAGAAAGAATGGAAGGAAGTAAGGAGAACATTGCAAAGGGACAATGGCAGCTTCAGCAAGAGAGCAGCCTGAAGAATTTGGAGAGGCATTTTCATCTTTCATGAAAATGGAACACTTAGAACACAAGTCTAGTTGAGAGGAAAAAAAAGACATGCTTCAGAAATAAGTAATTCTTAACTATGAATTAAACCAGTAATTGCAGTTGTCTTAACAATCTGACATAGGAAAATTAGTGATTGAATTATTAATGTAAAATTCAAAATAAAAAACCTGGGACAGACCAGTATTATTTGAGAAAATACATATTTGTAGAGGGAATATTATTAAGGATGGAAACAACTAAAAGAAATAGTTGAAGAACAAGGGAACTGACATATTATAAATCTAGGAATTTTAAAAAGATTTTAAAGATCAAAAATTGCATGTAATACTATGTGTTGGTGGCCCATATCTTTCATCCCAAAACTTGGGAGGCAGAGGCAGAGGCAGGTGGATCTCCATGAGTTCAAGGCCAGCTTGGTCTAGAGAGCTACTTCCAGAAAAGCTTGGGGTGTTACACAGAGAAATACTACCTCAAAAAACAAACAAAAAAAACAAAACAAAAACAAAAATGGTTGAATATATCATAAGGTGCTAGTATAAGTTTTATTAGTAAGCAAGTATTCTCATAAGCATCATTTTTGGAGATCACTTCTAAGAGAACAGAAGGAGAAGGCTAGTCTAATAATTCTCAACGTTTATAATACTGTGACCCTTTAATACAGTTCTTCACATTGTAGTGACCCCCAACCATAAAATTATTTTTGTCATTACTTCATAACTGTAATTTTACTAGTGTTATGGGCCATATTGTAAATACTAATGTTTTCCAATGGTCTTAGGTGACCCCTATAAAAAAGGTCATTTTACCCCCCAAAGGAGTCATGATCCACAGGTTGAGAACCACTGCACTATATAGACATGGGTTAAGAAGACTGGAGTTGATAAAGGATGGAGTTGGGATTAAATGCAAATGTTTTTCAGCAAGGAGGATGTGTAAGGATGCACATTTTCATTGGCTTGATATGTAAACTCAAAATAACAAAAATATTAATCATCCCAAGTCTTCAATTGACCTTATGTGCTCAAATTTCAATGAAAGTAAACAATTGTATTGTCTCAATAAATAATCTGAGTACTGAAATGTCCTACCATCCCAGAAAATTTTTAGGAGATACCACTTCTTTGAAGAACCATAAGGGGCAGGCCAGTACACAGATTGATACCCAAGACCCTGATAGAAGTTTTATATATGTATTCTTCTCACAGTTTCCCCTTCCTCCCCTTCTCCCACTTTCTCCCGCCCCACAACCATCTCCCCAAAATACCTCTGAGAAAATAGCAGGCCTCCCAGGGAGATCTACCAAACACATCATAACAAGCTACAGTAAGACCAGGCACATACCATCATATCAAAGATGGACAAGACAACCCAGTAAGAGGAAAATGGTCCCACAAGTACATAGTCCTCACTTCCACTGTTAGGAATCCCACAAGAACATTATGCTATATAAACATAACATATATGCAGAGGACTTAGGTCAGATCCCTACAGGCTCCCTGATCTCTTTGAGCCCCCATGAGTTCCTGTCAACTGATTCTGTAGACTCTGTTCTCATGGTGTCCCTAAACTCTCTGGTTACTCGCACAGCCCCCACCCCCACCCTCGAAGCACCTCCTGAACTCTGCCTAATCCATCTGCTCCCACCAGTTGTTGGATGAAGTCTCTCAGATCTCTTTTATGACGATTTTGTAAGACTCCGGACCCAGAGTACGGCAGGCAGCACAAACTAGCTGGAAAGTTTTGTGCTTGGGTTGGTGTCCCAATCCCTCCACTTGTGGTCTTGCCTGTTTACAGAAGATGGCCAGTTCAGGCTCCCATGTCCCCCATTACGAGGAGTCTCGGCTAGGGTTACTCCTGTAGATTCCATGAAGTTTCCATTGCACTAGGTGTCTACCTTGTCCCAAATGCCCCCCCAGTTCCAGTCTTGAGAACAGAGGAATCGGGTGTGAGAGAGGGAGGGAGAAATACTGGGATAAATGACTGACAGAAGCCTTGATTATCAAAGAATATTGAATGGTATTTCTTGTTAAATCTGAAAGCAATCCAAATAATATTAAAAATACATCACATCAAAATAGGAAAGCAATCACACCAAAATTCTGGGCTACAATACAATTTACCTGGCTGTTGTTTGTAATGACAGTCTCCCATGCAGAACTTGATACTTTACAAAATATTTTTATAGGAATAATTAGTATGTTGATCCCATTAGATGTTACCAGCCTCTTGCCACATGTTAGAAATTTAAACTCAATGTTATGCAGCTGAAATGTATGAGAAGCAAAATTCAAGTCCAACTCGGTCGGCCTCATTCCATCTGGGGGACTGACCCCCTCAAAGCATAACTTTTTGGATGCATTTTCATTAGATCCAGAGGGTATTTCCATTATCCTGACACCCCTACTCCTCCATGAATGGAACCTAGGCAGAGAAGATCTCCCCCAAGTCTAGATCTGCCTTGACTTCCACTAAGAAGCCCATCCATTGAATGTCATTCAGGAATCTACAACCAAGTTAAAAATAAAAAAAAAGAAAAAGAAAAAGAAAAAGAAATCCAAGCAGGTGAAAGGCGAAAGGCATACTAATAATAAATCTTAGTGTTTTCTTCATGGGGTAGAAGCTATGGTCTCCTTCTATCCCTCAGTCTCCATTATAGAAGAAGTTTCCTGGTAACTACAGTAGCCTTTGGTGCCTCTGTAATCTGATGCTGGTGATCTTGCTCAAACTTTTCAGTGAATTCAGAAGCCTCTAGATAGAGAAGAAGCATTGAGGCAAGAAGGATTGCATTGCTTATCTAGCTGAAGAAATAAAGACAGAAAAAAGCTTTATTTAAACCACTTCACTGAAAGAAATAATTGTTACTTCTCAGACCATCCAAGCCAGAAAGGCCATTGGAGAGTGACATTGATGGAAAAGATCATACTAAATGAATAAACAGCTAGCAACGCTTACTTAAGAAGAGGCCTCCCATAAGGAGGCTGTCTTTTGCATTCCAATCCAGAACCATTTCAAGCATTCCACAATAACGATGCAAATTCATATGCCATATTTTGTCTCTGAATGACCCTGAGAATCTGGGAACAAGGCATGGCAGATGTCTGAAGGATTTTTATTCATTGAATTAATTAAAAACACAGGAAATATTTCACCTGAGATAACACAACCAACAGTAGAGAAAGTTCTAGAGCATGTTAGAAAGCTCTAGTTCACTGCAGAGGTCTTGAAGCACCCCACTAATTAGCAGTGTGGGAGCAGTGAGGCAGCTTGTTCACATGTCAGCTTATCTGTGTGAATTTGTTTATTACAACCCTTTGCTCTTCCTAATCATTTTCCAGAGGGCAGGAGAAGGTGATAAGTGAGCTTGAGGAGGGTGGAGGGGGATGAGAAATACTCAAAGTGAATACTCTTCCCAAGTGCCTGTCTTTATGTCTGCTTTCCAAAGGACAAAAGAGGCTGGATCACAAGATCAGAGGGCCGATTGCCAAGGAAAGGTGTCTTAAGGGGTCGTCTCTTTAAAGTAAGGGACTTTCTTGTTTATTTCCCTTACTGTCTGAGATTCTGGATCCAGCTGTTTTATGCTCAGCTTGCACACAACCGTGTTTTTCTCCTGTGGCATTTGTCACACATTGTGCTATGATTATGTCACCTCTTCTCTCCTCTCTGATAAAGATGCAATGGTGTGTTGATGAAATACTGTTTATTATCACTTCCTTGTCTGACCAGCACCACACACTGTGCCTCCTATAATTGGTTACTCGTTGCACATCTGTGGAACAAATGAAATGTTAAAGACAACACTGTGGTTCACATTCTTTTTGGTCTCAAGGTTATAGCTGTGAACATGTCTGATAATGACAAATTACATAAAGTTCTGAGGGAAAAAATGTGTTTTAAGTGTATACTGTTCTCCAGATCTTCTAGATTTAATTATATTTGAAAAACTTAAAAGAAATACTATTAATATGGAAGGAACATAAGAGGATGGGTTGGTATTTCAGCACAGAGAGGAAGGTCAGTACCACACCCTCACCTCAACAATATAAGTTGCCAAGTTTCAACAGTTGATACTCTCAGGAACCTTAAACTTGATGTACATGTTTATTTTTTATAACTATCAAAGATTTTCCCATTCAAACTTCAGACAAGTTTGTCAGTATATAATAGTGTCTGCCATCTTAAACACGGTATTCCTCGTGTCAAGGTCCACAGATTTCACTATTATCCCATTTCTAAATCATAAATTTGTGTATAAGGTATGTTACTATGGTAAAGTTAATATACCCATTACCTCAGATAATAGGCTGTGTTTGTTTTGTGGTAATAACAGCTCAAATCTACTCAGCTAAGTGGAATTCTAATACAATACAATTTTAGTACCTATAACATTTATATTGTTCATTAAAACTGATAAGTTATATTAATTAAATCTGTGTGTCCAGATCATAAATGTGGTCAATGGTACAAAGTGGCACTAAATCTAATTCTCTCAGTAAGGATGTGTTATTACTCAACCAGAGTAGATTATTGGAAATTCTGTACCCAAAAATGAGAAGTAATATGTTCAAGCATGGGTGTGGCCCTCAATTCCTGGAATGTTCTAGTCTCTTCTTCCTGCTGCTTAATATAACTCAATATGCCTCTCAGTGACATTTCAGGTTCAACAGAAGTTATATCTTTGAAAGTGATTAACTTTTATATAGATATTGAAAAACATTAGGATGTGAGGATATGATTTTAGTGGAAGTAAGCATCACTCTATTGTTCCTGATATTTGGAGGAGTTTTGTTCAACATATTTAATGTTGTTAATATACTGGAAATAAAAATACACCAAATATCAATTCTATTCCCCTTGTATTGCTAAGCATCTTACTGCTACTAATCAAATTATTTTTGATTAGTGTAATGGATAGGATATGTTATTAGCATATACACTACCATGCATTTCCATGAGAGCTGTTCTTAATTAGACATAACTTGTTCTCATAAGTCTGAATGAAACATCAAGATCCTTCTGAACACACTCAGCATAGAGGGTCATTAATACATTACTATAGTAGTCAGCAAGTTAGTTTAATGATATTAGAATTTTGTTCTCGGTATATAAATAGGTATTTCATTCACATGGAAAACTAAAAAGCTTCAAGTACTGCCTAGAAACTCCCCAGTGAGGATATCCATGTTTTGGTGGCATACAGAAGTTCTATTATAGTATATTAACACAGTACATGTTGTGAAAGAATTGGCATATATTACCCAAAATTGCCCTCAACTACATCAATTTACTATAGAAGCAAAGAATCTTATTTAAAGAATTTGACCTTATGAATTTACTCATAATTACAGTAATTTATTTCTCAATTTCCTATGTCTTAATAAAAATGTTCTATTTATAAGTGTGAAATAAAATGTTCTACCTAAGCATACATTTCAGGATGCATTATGTTAAGCTGCTGTTCCAAGTCACTAGTCTGTTAGATACGATATTAGTGACACTATTTTTTCATTGTAGATTAATTGTGGTGAGTTCCGTGACCCCAATGTCTTCTGCACACGGGAGTCTGACCCACTCTGTGGTTCAGATGGCCAGACATATGGAAATAAATGTGCCTTCTGCAAGGCATTGGCGTAAGTATTGTTCTCACCACACCTACGACATATGAGCATAAACTTCCAAAATTAAACTAATATTTTTCTTGGGCTAACCTAGCATTTTCTACCCATATCTCCTATGGAAATTAAAGAAATATGCTTCCAGAAAATGGTTTAAAAACCAATGTCTCAAAAGGGAATAAACAAATTATTTCAAAACACTTTAACTGCTTTGTACCTATCATAATGCATTGGGGATTTATTTATAATACATTTTGCACTTAAAATTTGCTTTAATAATGTAATTTTCATAGTTTAATTTTTGCAAGTATTTATTCATTTTTATTTTATGTGTATAAGTGTTTTGCCTGCATTTATGTATATGTACCATATACATGCCTGATGCCCAGGGAGGCCAGAAGAAGGTATCAGACTCCCTGGAACTACAGTTGCAGATGGTTGTAAGCTGCCATGTGGGTTCTGGAACTCAAGCCTCGCTCTTCTTTAAGAGCAGCCAGTGCTCTTTAACACTGAAACATCTTCCCAGCCCCATTTTTTCCTATTTAAAAGGTAGTTTAATATATCAATATTGATCTCAGTATGTAATCAACACATTAATGTATTACCTATCTATGCAACTCGAAATTTTTCTCAGCAGAAGTATATGATACAGGCTGAGATTTGAATAAGTGCAAGGACATAATACCTGATAAAACCTCCATGTGCAGTCATCTATAAAATGCAAAATTCATCAAGTTTTCATTAATTTTCTTAAATATTCTTCCAGGTCAGAATGACTTATTATTTATTGGCATTATTTGATCCATCCTCTCCCTTTCACTCCTCAAGGATTAGTAATGTGTGTTGAAAGTTCTAAGGACTAACAGCTGAGATTGATCTAAGATTCCTTCCTTTTACAGTTACAAGAGGGGATTTAGTTTACTTCTAATGACTAGCAGTGTAGATACCAATAAACCCCATCATCAGGTGGGTTGTGTGCCATGCTTAAAACTGCCCTGGGCCCTGTGAGAAACACTGACGATACTAAACTGAGTATATATTTGTCTTTTCTTTTAATAGGAAAAGTTCTGGGAAGATCAACCTGAAGCACCATGGGAAATGCTGAATTCTAGCTGGCATTTTGTACCAGCGTGCCTATCCTCTCATCCTTATTTTTTTTTATTTCTGCTTTTACTTTTCTCTGAAAAATGCCATACAATCATGAAAAATAAAATACAACTTTTTCTCTGTGTCTGTCTTATGTAGATCAGTATGTTTGGTTCCTTCAACTTGTCAATAAAGTAAATTCTGCAGAATTGAATACCTTTTGGACTTGGATTAATATAACAAACTGATACAACAGATAATACTGACTGATTCACTAATTCCAACCAAAAGCCTGGTTGCCTCGTCAAAATACACTATCCATCACAATGGAATTCTGTAAAACTGTCTGCCATATTTCACTTTTGGAATTTGCATGACAATAATAAAGCTAATATCAATCTACAATATGTTATTGAAATATTGGATCTCAAGATACTAGTGTTTCTTAATTTCAGTAAAAACACTTTACATAAAAAGCAAAACATGGATCATCTATTGAGCTTGTTTCCAACTATCTTTGAAATAATGTATTTGGACTGCGTCATATTTAAGAACACACAGTATTTGACTTCCTGAAAGTATAATGAGGCATTCTGAATAAGAAGTAAAAAAAATGCTCAAAATGAACAGTGAATATTTTTAAAATGTTAATTGTTCGGTAGAGAATATGTAAAAAATCTCTTAAAGAAATAATTTCATTTCAGAATAGGGAAAATGAATAAACCATTAGGAAATCAAAGACTTACAACAACTTAGTTACTTACTAAAAGAAATCAGATCCAATTAGAAGAAAACTAAAGATTGCAAGAGTCCTTTTGATAAGCCAGTCATACTCCATGTAGCTACTCGATTCTATGAAAACCCACAACCTTCATGTGTAATTTCAACTCATTCTGAAAAATCAGCATGGAAGTTTTGGAAACAAGTCATTTGAATACTTTTATGCATTAGAATGTGAAATTTTAAATAATACCTTCCTGAAGATAACATACCAAGTTTCACTTCAATGCAATGACTGCCATGTCATTCTGTTAAAAACCTTTTCCTGGGTGCCCAATCTGGAACAGACTCTCTTCTAAGCACTTACAAAAACACCTGTGAATGGAAGTATAAAGAAGCAATAATTCCTCAATAATTAATTGGATTTATATTAAATAATAGAAAAGTGAAAATAGAAGCAATAAATGATAAGTAAGACATAGTAAGATTGGATGTAGTATGTGCGACAGGAAAAATACTAGGTAGGACCTGTTAATATAGGTGACACCTTCTTAGGGAGGAGTTGATAAGAATTGCCCAAGCAAATGTCTTGAAGAAGAGCAAAGATTAATTCATGCCCCATTTGTTCTACTTGATAGAGTGGGGCTGAGGAAGATGTGTTGTATAGACAAACAACAGGTTATCCAGGCAGGGAATAATGTGCCCAAATTGTGGGGCGGTCGTGTGGTGGTTATTGTTCAGGCTGTGGCTTTAATGTTGATGGATGAGATATGTTTTTAGCTATGAATGTTAAGATCATATGTCTGACTTATATCGGATTTTTTTTTTTTTGAGACAGGGTTTCTCTGTATTGCTTGGAACCTATCCTGGAGCTAGCTTTGAACTCACAGAGATCCGCCTGCCTCTGCCTCCCAAGTGCTAGGATTAAAGGCATGAGCCACCAATGCCTGGCTGATGTATATCAGATTTAACTCAGTGGTAGAGCAGTAGCCAAGCATGAAGAAGACCCTTTATTAGTTCCCCAATATGATTAATAAGTATATAAGTATAATTAAAATCTCAAATATATTTGAGACATGTGGATGTTACCCTTCATGAATATAATCAAAGAAAATCTAGCCAGACTGGAGTGTTATAAGTGACTAAATAAAGATCCAAGAAATGATTTAGATTATGCAAGGACAAGCATATAGGCATGTGCTTCCATGTCTAAAATTACCCCCTTGATACATAAAAATAATTATATAAAATGTAATTGGGATGCAGCGATAAGAAGGTGGGCCTTCAGTCAATGCAACAAAATGTGAATCTTGATTCTTGCATAAAGCTATAAAGTTATCAATTTATGTCCTTAATCTCAAAAGTACTAGGTTTATAGGTATGGACCAGTAAATTTTTGATCAAGATTGAGGTTAGATTTAAATGAGTCATTTTGGTTTCTTTATCATTGTTTTTAACTTATCAAATGAAAACAAACTACTTCCTTGTATTATGAGGAACAAAAAATGCATGTTTTTACATGTAATAAGAAGTAATATATAGTGGCCATGATTATTATGTCAGTCACCATTTACAGCATAATATTGTCTATATTCCTATAAACTTTATTTCATACATAATGTAATTGTTTTAAAATATCTATCTTCTTTTTTTCTTATATTTATCTTCTTATATACCACTTTTGGAACTCTTTATCACAATTTTTTGTTCTCAATGTCTGTCAGCTAAAATACAATGTCTCACTTGGAAAATCATTCCTTTTGCTTACTGTAATTTACTCAGTAAAATAATTTAGCTATTTCTAGCATACATATGCAAACATTTTGTGAAGTTTGCTAACAGAATCACAGTGCTTCTATGGAATATTGTATATAAGGAAGATCCAAGTCTGTCTCTCATGGGAACTCCCCCTTCAGCTATTACAGATTCATCTCTATTATTCTCACACAAAAGAATCCTTTCATCTACAGACCAGTCCTTCCTGGAACATTTCTCACATCGTCTTCTACCGCAAAACATACTTTTTCCCTCATACAAGTTTCTGGCCTGTATCTTAGTCCTATCACATAGCTTATGGGTCATTTCATGGACTGTATCTGAAAGTAGGGCAAAAAACATTTTCTATCCAGTTCTAAACTATTTTGAGGATGTAAAGAAAATATATAAAAACAAGTAACAGGAGATAGAAATTATATTTCTCATACGAAAAATGTAATCACATATTAGCAGTCAAACTGTAGGGTTTTAGGGTTGTATACATTTATCAGTATTCATGGTTTTTATATTTAGTGGATAAACACTAATGTTCTTAACCATGACATGCAAAGGCACTGATGCCTGTAACTTAATTTAAGCCACAGAGGAAAGGAAATACCCAAATGGATTCTTAGTATTGTAATTTAAGAAAAGCGACACATGAGAAAAAGACTACATGCACCAGGGTTTGAGAAGAGGTGTTTTTATTAGGGAAAGGGATCATAAAAAGGGAAAGGGGAAGAGAGAGACCAGCCTCCAGTGACAGGAGCATCAGGAGAGAGGAGAGAGGAAAGAGGGAGAGAAAGAGGAGAGATAGAGAGAGGAGAAGAGGGCAACAGGCAGAGTGAGGGGGAGAGAGAGAGAGAGAAAGAGGGAGGGAGAAAAGGATGGGAGGCGGGCAGGGCCCTTTTAAAAGAAAATATAGTGAATATGCACAGGTGGTGCTCTTAGTGGCTACTGCTGAGGGTGTATCCTGTCAGAACCCCAAGGACAGGCCAGTACAGATGCCTGAGTACTAACACTAGTAAAAGCCAAGTAAATAGTATCAGAAAGTAGAAAGTGGCTTACTAGAGTCAAGAAGAAGAAAATTAATGTGAAAAAGGAAACTAAAGGGTTCAGATTTTGCTTGTATGAATGAGTTATGTCTTAAGAATTTATTGTTCACAAAGGCTGTGGTGATAACTTCTTATTGATACTGAAAATTAGCTGATACATGCATGTATCATAGAAAGTGCCTCACCTGTAATCGCTCAATCTAGTTTGTATTTTTCTATGCACATGCATATGAAGACATATCATATCTTAAACATATATTATAAAATAAGTTAAAATAAATGCATATCACAATCCACATGTATGTGTATTCTCTGTAAAATTACTTCATAAGTGAAAAATATCAAAATATAAAAAAGAATTTTTAAAAATTACTTCATTACTACAAAATTTTTAAATTTTTTCAGTGAAAAATATTTAAATTGAAAATCACAATCTTTCTTTCATACACAGACAGATTCAGCTATTAGGATAACATACATCAGTATGTATTGCTGAAAAAAAATCTTCCATTGTTGTGATGTTCAGGACAAGGCATACTCCTTCAAATATGACTTGAACACCTTGTTCTAAATAAAAAATAATAGTAATTATTTCATTTTATCTCAGTTCTCATGACTATCATCATACCATCAGTTCAAAAGGGGAACTTTGCCAAGAACAGATTATACCAAAGTTGCAATCATTAACTGCTCTTGGCATTTTTACTGCTTGCTCACATTGTTGCCAAGTCACATCTTTCTCAGTTATTAGTTTTTTCTGATGTAGCTACATGAAAAACTTATTTAGTTTATTAATGATTAAGCTTTAGTGAAGGAGTGTTGCAAAACCTAACAATTTAAAGGATTCTTGATGGAAAATATGCATGTAAGCATGAAAAAATAAAAGATGCAACAAGGAAAATTAAAGTCCTAGAAAATAGTAATATAGATATTGAAATAATTCATTATTAATAATGGCAACTAACCTATTTACTAAAAATAACATAGATATTAACTTAGCAATAGCACTTTTTTATCTCCTGCCATCCCATCTTCCTGCTGCCATTTCCTATCCACCATGACAGCTTAAGTACTCTTGAATACTGTGTTTCTTCATTGCTGACTAGTATTGAATTAAGAAAAAAAAAAAAAACGAAGCGTAAACTTATCCATAAGAACAGAATCCTTCAAAATCCAGAAAAGATATGCTAATGACAGATGTGCCAATAACCACACAGGAATCAAGAAATGTGAATCGCAAAGCTATCTGACTCCTTTTTAAATGAACCATAAATCTTCAGTGGATGAACTCAGATGTTCTACAATAGGTCAAATATGCCTGATGGAGATTTCAAACATTTTCTGTTAGAAACAACCAGTGGTCCAAATAGAGTACAAATATAGATTTAATCCAGGTCACAGAGGGGAAGGTGAGAAACAATGGAAGACAAAATAAGTAGAATAAATAAATTTCACAACATGAATGAAAAAGCCAGTGATAGGGAATAAT